ATAATGGCAGGACCATAGAAAAGAACGGCATTCCCTTAGATAACAGATATGTTGTGCCTCATAATAGAAAATTGCTCCTTAAGTACGGCGCGCACATAAATATGGAATGGTGCAACCAGTCGAGGACCATCAAATATTTGTTCAAGTACGTGAACAAGGGGAATGATCGTGTCACCGCCACCTTTTACGAGTCAAATGGAGCTGAGTCATCTAGCAGGCTGGTTGACGAGGTGAAGATGTACTATGATTGTCGGTATGTTTCATCTTGTGAGGCTGCATGGCGGTTGTTGGAGTTTGAGATTCAGTTCAAATGGCCATCAATGGAGCGCTTGAATTTTCACCTCGAAAACGAACATCCTTGCTACTATGATGATGAAGTTCCGATCGATCAAGTGGTTGATAAATATAAAAAGCGCGTTAGAAAATTCTTGGCTTGGATGGAGGCCAACAAGAAGTATCCCGCTGCTAGAGAACTTACATATGTCGAGGCTCCCACTAAATTTATGTGGCATTCGGAAGCGCAAAGTTGGGAGCCTAGGAAAGGAAGCGATCGGATTGCGCGATTGTAATTCGTCCCCCCGGAGCTGGAGATATATTTTACTTGAGTTGCCTTATCAATGTTGTTCGAGGTGCAACATGCCATCGTGACTTTATGAAGTTGAATGGCGTCCAACACGATTCGTATCGCGCAGCGTGTTTTGCCTTCAGTTTGGTGGAGGACGACAAGGAGTATATAGAAGGCATTATTGAGGCAAATCAATGGGCGGCCGCAAGTTCATTGAGGGCCCTTTTTGCAACTCTTCTTTCCTCTGATACTCTTAGTCGACCGGAGTTTGTGTCGACCGGAGTTTGTGTGGGACGCATGTTGGCATTACCTATCGGATGACATACTGCATAATCGTCGGAGGCTTTTACACCATCCAGGTAACAAATACAATTGTTTTTGTATGTATTTATTATATTTACTTATTATATGTTTTATCTCTGTACTTATTTTTGTTTTTTTTTTTTTTTTGTACTTTGATTGTTACAGAATTGGTCATGAGAGATGGGGAAATAAAGAATCTCGCTTTGGCAGAGATCGAAAAGATTTTGCGGCGACGTGGGATGAGTTTACGTGACTATGGTACAATGTCGTTTCCTGTTCTCGATCGTAATGAGGCGTCCACGAACAGACTTGTGATGGACGAGTTGAATTACAATCGTCGTGCACTATCGATTGAGAATGAGCAATTGGTTGCCAACATGACTGATGAGCAGCGCAATGTTTATGACTCAATTATGGACTCGGTCTACTGTAGCCACGGTCGCATCTTTTTTGTTTATGGTTACGGCGGCACCGATAAAACATATATCTGGAGGGCGTTGTCTTCTGGTTTGAGGTCGAAGGGCGAAATCGTGTTGAACATTGCATCAAGCGGTATCGCGTCACTTTTGCTTCCCGACGGCCAGACTGCCCATTCACGCTTCAGAATCTCGATAAACCCAACGGAAGGGTCGACATGTGACATTAGCCAGCAGAGTCCATTGGCCGATCTAATTGTACGATGTCGGTTGATCATTTGGGACGAAGCCCCGATGATGAATAAGTATTGCTTCCAGGCAGTTGACAACACATTACGAGCCTTAATGTAAGTGGTGGATCCATCGAGGAAAATCTCCCTTTTGGCAGCAAGTCTGTTGTATTTGGTGGCGATTTTAGACAGATTCTCCCTATTGTGCCTAAAGGCACTCGGAGTGACATAGTGAATGCGACCATCAATTCGTCCAGCTTATGGCGAGATTGTATCGTTCTGAGACTTACTCAGAACATGAGGCTTCGAAGCCTTGGTGGGGGCGGTGAGTACGATGAGTTGAGGCTTTTCTGGGAGTGCCTTGCAAGCATTGGCGACGGTACTGCTGGTGGACCGAACGATGGATGTGCTGACATCGACATTCCCGACGATATTCTTCTGAAATCACAAGGTGATCCTATCTCTTCTATTGTAGAGAGTACGTACCCAATGTTTAGGAGTTCGGGCGACGATCTTAGCTACTTGAAGGACAGAGCTATACTCGCTCCCACCCTTGATGTTGTTGAGTCCGTCAATGAGTACATGAGCTCATTGAACTCCTCCGAGGGAAGAACTTATTTGAGTTCGGACAGTGCTTGCAAGTCAGATGTTGGATATGACTATCTTCACGATCTTCACACTCCTGAATTTCTCAATGGGATTAAGTGTTTCAGACTTCCCAACCATAAATTGCACTTGAAGGTTGGCACTCCAGTGATGCTCCTCAGAAACATTGATCACTCCATGGGGTTGTGCAACGGTAATGTTGATTAAAATTCGATATATCATGTATATTTTATTTTATTTTATGTACAAATTCGAGTGATTTGTTTTTGTTCTCCAAATTTTGATTTCAACAGGTACTCGATTGGTTATTACTAAGCTCAGCAGCCATGTCCTAGAATGCAGAATTTTAACCGGTGTCAGAGCTGGTGATAAGGTTCGTATTCCTAGGCTCACGATCATACCATCTGATTTGAGGCTACCGTTCAAATTTCAGCGCAGGCAATTCCCCCTCATGGTTTCATATGCTATGACAATCAATAAGAGTCAAGGCCAGTCACTGTCGCACGTCGGCTTACTATTGAAAAGCCCTGTATTTAGTCATGGGCGATTATACGTGGCGCTTTCTAGAGTAACGAGTCGGAGGGGCTTGAAAATTCTAATTTGTGCTGATGGAGATTCTGGCAATAATAAAACCACGAACGTTGTATATAAGGAAGTGTTTAATAATATTTAGATTTTTTTTTCTCGGGCTTTTATCAAGTGATTATGTTATTATTTTTCCTATTGTTTACAATTTATTGTATTTTTTTCCTCTATCACATAGCTTTCCGTGAAAATGAAAATTAATTAACTAGCTCTCTGTGCAAATGCATGGGTTGCAACTAGTTGCGGTTAAATTGGAGGTTTTATCCGTTAAAATCTCAAACTTATTAATTATTTAACAAGTAGCTATTGAAATAATTTTGTAATTCAAAAGGTTATTACAAAAAAAAAAAAAAAAAAAAAAAAAAAAAATCAATATATGAACTTTTGAAAATAAGAGATTGTAATTTTTGTTTTTCGAAACTATTTAATTTAAGGCTTAATTGCACCTAAAATCCTTACATTTTGTGTAATTGCAAATAAAACTCAACTTTTTTAGCTTTGCAAATAAATAACAAACTTTTATTATGTGTTGCGAATCTTCTCGACACCATTTTCCGTTCAATCCTTGTTGACGTGTCCGATCATAAATCTTACGTGACACTTATGAGGCTTGTGTGACATCAATCTTTGAAACCCCTCACCATATTTTTGGCACATCATATACCAACATATTAACCAAAATTATAGTTTAGTACCAATTGAAAAAATAGGATTTTATTACCATTATTTTGCTTCATAATTTTCATAAAAATCGAGTTCTTCTCCTCCAATTGAAAAAAAAATAATATTTGCAACGATTCTTCTCATCTCCATGTCGCGATTCTTCACCCCCCAAAAATTGAGTTTACCCCCAACATTCTGAATACAGTTACGAGCACCCGCAAATTATAAAAAATTGGGCAGAGGGAGCGATTTTCGAGTGATTTTTAAGTGAGTTTAGTGTTCTGATCGGGCACGTCAGCAAAATTGACCGAAAAATGGTTTTTAGACAAATTTGCAACACACAATAAAGGTTTGATATTTATCTGCAAAGATTAAAAAATTGATATTATTTACAATTACACGAGAATTTTATGTGCAATTAAGCCTTAATTTAATTAATTACTAGTACAACACTCGTATATTACACGAGTACTTGCTAAAAGATTATTCATAAATTTTAAAATTAATGAGAAAAATCATTTTAAATTTTATTTATTTTCTTACAAGAAATATATATTATTATATCTTTTAGAATGACACTTGTTAGTTGTGCTGACTTATATGTGTCATATTATAATAATTTTTATAAAGATTAAATATAATCTATTTATTTATACATACAATATGGATGCTAAATCGAAGTTCATGAAGAGATGATTAATTTGATATATTATATATGTAAAATTGATAAAAAAATACAAACTTATTAACTTCTAAAGTACATTTACAATTCAATGATTATAATAAGAAATGATACTAAAATGGAATTAATACATATAACATGATCATAAATAATCAACATATTTACAAATAATTTGGATCAAATTATTTTTAGATTTCATTGGAATTAATACATGTAACATGATCATAAATAATCAACATCTTTACGAATAATTTGGATCAAATTATTTTTAGATCTGAATGAAATTAAAATTCTAATAATGAAGATATAATTTTGCCACATAATATCTCTAATATTTCGAAGCATGCGAATCTGTCACTTAAGCTCAACATCATTTTCAATTGATATATAAGGGGATTATACCACTTAAAAAAAAAAAAAAAAAAAAAAAAAAAAAAAAAATTGCTAGTCGAGAGTGGGTCCCGCTGCCTGCCAACACGAAACACAAGTTTCTCACGGCAAAATGCGACAAATTATAATTTTGCCCCAATTGAAGTGTTTATTTGCTCTACTGCCCTCTGTATCCACACTCTTTTCCTCTCGCATCTGCAAGTTCTGTTCCTCGGATCTAACACATCCTCGCATTTGCTCAAGCTTTTCGTCTTCTTCGTTTTACTGTTCAAAAGTTCCTCTGTATTTTCTGCGCGCTCGTGAGGAGTATGTGTATCGAAGGGCGAGTTCAGTGCATGTAATTTCTCCACACATTTGGTCTCCATTTTGTTTGTTGAATTCAAGGTCCTCGCTCGTCAGCTTTGTAGGTATTGCACAGAATCTACTTTCCCAATCTTATTTTGTGTTAATTCTGTTCTTTGAAGTTCATTCGCATGTGTACCCGATGATTGTGATGAAGCCTGCTATCGTGTGGTGAATGATTCAGCCTTTTTTTTCCAGTTATTTTTTGCTGTTGCTGTTCAATCTAAAATGGAGTGACTGTCATCTATTCTTTCTCTTTTGAAAGTGGGAAGTGTTACTGGAATCGACTGGCTGGCGATGGAGAACTTGGAGAACAGCGTTTTGTTGCTCTCCTTTGTGTTCCTTTTTGTCTGTTTTTCAAATTTTTTAAGATACTCACAACGTGCATTGGCATCATTAGTCTTTGCAGGAGTGTGCGCCTGTTTGTTTCTAGATTTATTTTTGCGTTGATCGTGATTAAGTACATATGATATGAAATAATGCCCCATGCCCAATTAATTCATCTCCATTTATAGGTAGTATATCTTAGTGGAGAGACGATTATCAATGAACTGTTTGCATGTAATTTTTCGATATTCGGGGATATATAGATTATCATTACATGGTCTGGGGAAGCTTAATGAAATAACAGTTGTTTAGGCATACATCTAGTTATACTTTGCATGGCTGCCCAATATACTTGTAATTTTTTGCTTCTATGAGCTTTGGTAACTTATTTCTTGTATCTTGCTTGTTTAGATATCTAGTGGATAGATCAAAACTTTAATGAGTTATGCTCTCTTCTATTTTTTTCATTTACGTGCTATACTCATTTTGAAGCTTGCTCCCCCCGTCTCCAAATTTGTATTTCTTATTTACTCATAGACTTCTTGTTTCACAGATTTCTCGTGTGGTCAAGTTGCTAGGTCGTAAGCAATACCTCAGCCTTTTCAGGCTTGGCGCATCTGTTTCTGGTTAGAAGCAGATGCAATTTGGTGATACTTTTGAACGTCTGGAACTGATAATTGGAACATATGTCTGATCCTTGACTTTGAATACTGGATAATCCAAATTTGTCAAGTGGGAAGCTCCTGAGACCTGCTGTAGAGATAACTTGTTTGAGAGGACATCTTCGAAAATGATAAATAGATCGCTAGTCTTGACATATCTATACCTTCTAATCTACATCACGCTTTCATCTGGGGTTATCTTGTACAACAAGGTGAATGCACTTATATTTGTCAATCTAGTCCCTTACAGCATCTGAATGTGTCGAGTTAAAGATGATGCTATGCCAACTTACTTTGATTGAGTCTTGATATGTAACTTTTGTATCTTACTGGCAAATATTTTACTATTTTAGGCTGAGCTTACACTCAATTTAAAGTTCTGTTCATCTGTTAATATTAATTAATTAATTTATCTTTTTGCTTGAGAATATTGGTTTTATTTCTTATTATTCTTTTATTGTTTCATTGTGTATCCATGTTGTGAGTGGATTAGTTTAGCGTAAGCTTGACTCAGCTGTATAATGATATTCATGGACTTCCAATTATTGTTCTGCACCGTGGTTTCTGTGTTACTGCATTCTATTTTTGCTACTATTTGGAGTGCTGAAGCTGACTTATTGATTGCAGTGGGTTCTTTCTCCAAAATACTTCAACTTTCCATTTCCTATAACACTTACCATGATACACATGGGATTTTCTGGTGCGGTGGCATTCTTCCTTATTCGTGTTATCAAGGTAATGCTTCTGAA